TGACCTCCCAAAGTGTTGGGATTACAGGCATGAGTGACTGCTCCCAGCCAAAAATTTGTATCATTTCCGTACAACAATAATGAACTAGCTAAGAAAGAAATCAAGAAGATAATTCTATTTATGATATTTAAAAATAAATAAATAAAATACCTATGAATACATCTAACCAAGAAGGTAAAAGATCTCTACAAAAAAATGGTCTGCAAAACATTTATGAAAGAAACTAAAGAGGACACAAACAAATGAACAGACATCCCATGCTCATGGATAAGAAGAATGAACAGCGTTAAAATGACAGATTACCTAAAGCAATCTGCAAATTTAATGCATTCGCTATCAAAAAACCAATGTCATTTTTCATGGAAATAGAGAATTCTAATATTCAAATGGAACAACAAAAAAAGAGCCTAAGTATCCAAAGCAATGCTGAGCTAAAAGAACAAAGTTGAAAGTATCACACTACCTGGCTTCAAATTATGTCACAATATAGCAACCAAACCAGCATGGTAGTGCTATAAACACAGACTCTAGACCAGTGAAGCAGAATAGAGACCCAGAAATAAGTCTGCATATTTAAAGCCAACTGATTTTCAACCAAGGCACTAAGAGTAAACACTGTGGAAAGGACACCCTCTTTAATAAATGGTGCTGAGAAAACTGGAAATCCATATATAGAATAATAATAATAAAATCCATATATAGAATAATAAAACAGGTCCCTGTCTCTCACCATATACAAAAAAGTCAACCCTCAAAAGATTAACTACAAATGCAAATCCTAAAATTATAAATCTACTATAAGAAACTATAAAAGAAATGCTCTTTTATGGTTTTGGAGATTGGACTAGGCAATAATTTTATGACTAAGACTGCAAAAACAAGCAACAAAGGGAAAAAATAGACAAATGGGATTACATCAAACTAAAACGTTTCTGCACAGCAAAGGAAACAATCAAGAGAGTAAAGACACACACTGCATAATGGGAGGAAATAATTGCAAACCATTCGTCCCACAAGGGACTAATGTCCAGAATATACAAGGAACTCAAAAAACTCAACAGTATAATATATATAATAATTGCACTAAAAATTGGGCAAAGGACATTCATAGACATTTCTTGTCTATACAAAAGAAAGTCTGTATAAAAACAGACTCACAGACAAGTGAAACAGGGTAGAGAATCCAGAAATATTATTAAGTCCACATATTCATAGCCAACTAATTTCCAATAAAGATGCCAAGAATAAACATTGGGGAAAAGATATTCTCTTCAGTAAATGATGCCCAAAAAACTGGAAATCCATATGCAAAAGGCTGAAACTAGACAACGATCACTCACAATCTACAAAAATCAACCCAAAAGATTTCCTTTTATATAGACTTTCTCAAAAGAAGTCATACAGATGGCTAACAAGTTTGTTTAAAAAATGCCCAGCATCATCAATCATCAGAGAAATGCAAATCAAAACCACAATGAGATATCATTTTACTATAGTTAGAATGACTATTATCAAAAAGACAAAAAATAACATATGGTGACCAGAACGCATGAAATAGGGAAGTTTATACACTCTTATGGGAACATAAATAAGTACAGCCATTATAGAAAATAGTATGGAAGCTTCTCAAAACACTGAACATAGAACTACCACATGATCTAGCAGTCTCAATACGGGGTATTTATCCAGTAGCAGGAAAGGAAATCAGTAAATCGAAGTGACATCTCCACCCCCATATTTATTACAGCACTATTCACACTTGGTTGATATGGAATCAACCTAATTGTCTATCAATAGATGAATGGAGAAAGAAAATATGGAATGTATATTTAATAAAATATAGTTAGCCATCACAGTGAAATTGTGTCATTTACAGCAACATAGATGGCACTAAAGATCGTTATGTTACGTGAAATAAGGCAGGAGAAACAAATATCACATGTTCTTGATATATGGGATTTTAAAAAGCTGATCTCATGAAAGTAGAGTAGAAGGATAGCTCCCAGAGACTGAAAAGATAGGGGTAGATGAAAAGTTGGTTATGTGTATACAAACATAGTTAGAAGGAATAAGTTCTAGTGTTCAATAACACAGTAGGCTGACCATAGCTATATATTGTATATTTCAAAGTAGCTAGAAGATTTGAAATGTTCCCAACACAAAGAAATGATAACTGTTCAAGGTGATCAATATCCTAAGTACCTTTATTTGATCATTACTCATGAAACATATGTGTATCAAAATATCACATATACTCCACAAATACGTTTACATATTATGCATTAATAATAATTTTTAAAAATTCAAGGGAGCCAAAAATCAGTCATGTTTTAATGCCAGGATAAGAAGGTAAAAATAGAAAAAAACATCATTCTAAAACTGACATCGTTTTCTGATATTGAAGTCTGGGTTTACGGGAAGGTACACATTTCACTGCAGATTAGGACATTTTGAGGCTTTACATTGGTAGGAGCAGGATATTAGTGATAGTACTTATGTTGTATCAACAGTTGTCTACAACCTTAGATGGAGCAGATGGTTTGAGTTTTGAGAACATTAAGTGTGTGATAGACAAATGGAAATTTTGCCAAAATATTAAATATTGGTCAATAAAATATTTTCAACTGACCCTTCTTCAAAAAATTAATCCCATCAGCACAATCATTACTGTCCCTTTATGCACTTCAGAGAAAATTCATGGTGGAACCACCATTTTAATTCTTTTCCATGCTGCTGGAGTTCCATGAGTCCTAGATTGAATGTCACAGTTGCTGGTTCCAGGATTCAGGCAGTTTGGGTCAATCTGGAGGGTGGAGATAGGGAACCAACTATGAATCTATTTTCACAAAAGCCAGATGAATTCTGTAGCAAAGAAGTCATGGCAAAAGAAAGGGCTGCAGTTTTAAGCAGCGGAGATATGGGCGGCCATCAGGTGGCCCACCAGGGACTTCTAATGGCTTTGGTGTAGAGGACAGCCACTTCCAGTAAGCAGGAACCTAAGGGATAAGGAATTAAATGGTAAACACTGAAAGAACAAGCTCTCAGAACATGTGTGTGAGGAGGGGTTCCCAAAATTATAGGAGGACACTGAGGGGTTCTATTCTAATAGACACTGTGTGAATATATTTTTTTGCATCCATTATTGTTACTCTGGTCTTAGCCTGTTGTCACCTGGAAAACGCAGATTACTTTTACATCTCTGGAAAGAATAGTGGCTTGGACACCAGATGGCACCCTCAAAAGGCACACGTAAGTAGGCTTCTTGTCTCTGTCTTTAAAACAATAAGCACTTAAAGTGTCATTTGGTGAAAACAGCAGTTATCAGGAAATCACTTAGCTGAGATAAATAAAAAAAAAAAAAGAAAGAAAAGAATCCTGGAATAGCAGTTAATCCTCAAAATAAGAAGTTTCCATTCTTGGGTCAGACCAATAAACGACATGGCATTTAGACATCGAATTCATGCCTTCCCTCGCAACTGAGCATCAGACACACTTACATGGTGGAAATGTTCTTTAGCACTATACTGTTTTCTTAGTTTGCATTGCTAGTCACCTTTGTATCATTTGCATATGATTTGGAAAACATTTTAGAACAGTCCAATAACAACTTCGAGATAAAAAAAATTCTACAGACTTTACAGCTCCTTCCTATTACATGAATGTGTAAATTGAATTCCCTCTCAGGAGAAAAAAACAAGGGCTGGCTTCCCAACAATGTTTTCATTGGCTTTAGGGAACTAAAACACACCAGTGTCTGGGTGAGTAATACTTCCTGTAAAATAAAGATAGATCAACACATAATTAAGTCCTGGCTGCAATATAATTGTTGTCTTGGAAACAGTTTTGGGGATAAATATGGTTATGCTAATGAAACTACCCCTGATTTCCACTAATGATCCAGTTTATTAATTAGGCCAGGACATTTTTCCACCCTGTGCTGTACATTTTGGAATACTGAAAAAGAGTTAAAAAAAAAAAAAACTTTTAAGAGAACACTATAGGAGAAGAAAAAGGGACAAATCTTAAATTCTTTATCAACTCTTGTAAGGATTCCAGTTGGAAGAGTAGATCGAAAGTGCTTTTTGGATTATTCATGGGTTTCAAAGATTCTTCCTCCTCCACTCGGCAGAAAAACAGAGTTGTAATAGACAGCATTTATAATTCATAATCCTTAGCGTTATTTCTCTGAACTCGACATCCTAAATAGCCAGCGTTTTCTCATTCCAGAACTGAGCGTTCAGTAGTTTTTTAGGAAGTTCTGCTGAATGCCGAGACCAAAGGAGCGCCTGCCTGCTCTGAGGGTTTTGCTGAGGCCGAGTGTGAACTCTGGGCGAGAGAGCGCATCTCGGATCTTAGATCACACCCACTCGGGGTGTGCGCGCGAGTGTGTGCGCGGTGCCTGCGCGCGTGTGTACGTGTGAGGAGGTGTGCGCCAAAGGGGTGGGGTGAGTGGCGGCGAGGAGGGTTCTAGGTGAAGCGCGGGGAGAGGGAGGTCGCCCGCTCCGGCCTCTCCCCAGGGGCCCTGCGGCTGGCTAGCGCTCTGGCTGCACCTCCTGGTGCGCGCCGCGGCGGCGCCACAGGCCCCTAGACCCTGTGACCACCGCCCGTCCGGCAGCCGGGACCTGTGATGGCGCGAGACTGACAGCCGCCTCTTCCCGGACCCTTGTGTCCCGCCCGGGGCTCGCGGGGGCTGCGGCGCCGCCGGGAGCTGCATGTGGGGCGGGCGCGCCGGAGCCCAGAGCGAGCGGCCCTCGGCGCCCCCGAGGCGGTGCCCGGCCGCGCCAGAGGACGAGGAGGAGGAGCGGCCGGGCAGGGCCGGGCTCCCCACGCGCCGCGGCCCGGGAGCAAGGGCTCCCCGGAGTGGACTTGGGGCGTCCCAGCCCAGGAGGAGGGAACCGGAAGCAGAAGCGGAGCCGCGAGTCGAGCGGAGCCACTGCCCCCGCTGCCCGCCGGCGCCGGGTGGGGGTCCCGGCGGCTGGATGGGCAGCGGCGGCGCGGGCCGCGGGCGGCGATGGGCGAGGAGCAGAGCACGGTGAGCGGCGGCGGCGGGCCCCAGGAGTCGCAGACCCTGGCCGGTGGCACTGCGGGCCACCCTGAGCCCCCGAGGCCGCAGGGGGACAGCGCCCGGCCGCCCCCGCTGTGCGCCGCCTCCGCTGAGCCTAGCGACGGCGGCTGTGGAAGCGACTGGGGCTGCGCGGACACCAGCGCCCGGGAGCCGGCGGGGAGCTTGGGGGCCCCGAGCTGGAGGCAGAGCCGAGCACCGGCGCAGCCTGCGGGACTGGCACTCGCCGGGCCTCTCAACCCCCAGACCTTGCGACTGCAGTTGGAGCTGGAGGAGGAAGAGGAGGAAGCTGGGGACAGAAAAGAGGGAGGGGATGAACAGCAGGAGGCGCCCCCCGGCGAGGAGCTGGAGCCCGGGACCCGCGCGGGGGCCGCCGACGGACTGGTCCTGGACGTGCTGGGTCAGCGGCGCCCGCCCCTCGCCAAGAGACAAGTCTTTTGCTCCGTGTACTGCGTGGAGAGCGACTTGCCCGAGGCCCCTGCCTCGGAGCAGCTCTCTCCGCCCGCGTCGCCACTTGGGGCTCCGCCAGTGCCGAACCCTCCCAGCACCCGCTCTTCCCTCCCCAGCCCCCGGCTGTCCCTCCCAACGGATTCCTTCTCCCCCGACGGCGGCAGCATCGAGCTGGAATTCTACCTGGCGCCCGAGCCGTTCTCCATGCCCAGCTTGTTGGGAGCTCCACCCTACTCTGGCCTGGGCGGTGTAGGGGATCCCTATGCGCCCCTCATGGTGCTGATGTGCCGGGTGTGCCTGGAAGACAAGCCCATCAAGCCCCTGCCTTGCTGCAAGAAGGCCGTGTGCGAGGAGTGCCTCAAAATCTACCTGAGCGCCCAGGTAACTTCACCCTCTTCTCTTTCCCGTTTATTATTCCAAATCACTGGCAAGGAGGTCCTGCTCTCGATCTGATCTCCCTACTCGCAGGAAGAAGTGACCGACACACTTACTAAGGATCTCTGTTAGTTTCTTACGTCTCAGTTGTTATTTAAGTGTATTTTGACCTCACTGGTTTACTTAACTGGAATTTAACTTTGCTCTGAACTTCAGGCTGTCGTTGGCAGGTGTAGAAGCCACAAGGCACAAGGAGTTGTCCTCTGCTTATTTCTTATACAGGATTGCAAGCACGAGCTTGCTCAAAGGAGGAGGGCAAGAGACTGCCTCATCGGCCTGGTATCCCATAAACTAACAAGCAGTGGGCATAGAATAAATATTTATGGAGCTGGTGGAGAAAAGAATTGGAATCAATATTTCAGACCTCTAATACATGAATTTGTAATTTTGCTTCATTTATATATTCCAGAAAAGCGTGCATGTTTAAAAAAATTTATCCCTTGGCCTTTGCCTACTTTTCAGTTTCCTTTTTCCACAGTAAAGTTGAAGTACTTTTTCTCACTGAGGTTTTAAGCCAGCACTCTTTGAAAGGGAAACAAAACAGAAAAAGCAAAACAAAGCAAGGAGAGGCTAAGAGGTTTCTCAGAACAAGCACTGGTGAAACTTTGCTTTTATTTGAAAACTTGTTTTTTTCTTGGAAAGCTTGAGAGTGCAACAGACCAGTTTTCCTTCACGGATGGTGAATGCCTTCTTCCAGCAGTTTTCAATCTGTAATGTTTCTGCCAGTGTTTTGCACAATCCCGAATGCCCTTTGATCCTGTGTCCAATTGTCCTAGGCCTATTCATCTTTCAAAACCCTGTCTGTTCAGGTGCCAGCTCTTCTGTGAAGCGTTGCCTCACCTTCCAAGTCACTGCTTATATACTTTCACAATATCTTACATGCACTGCAGTTGTTTCTTTCCTGTCTCCTTGTCTGGTTAGACTGTCTGGACGATGTCTTAGATCCTTTATGTGGTAGCTTCATGTTGAGTCCCTTGCACATCTAGTAGTGTTTTTAATAACCTTGGCTGAGGCAAACTGACCAGAGCTCCAAACCGTATGATTCCTCTATGTTTTGTGGCTAACCCATGCTTGGGTCTAGACTGAAAGTGTATACAGTGCCCAACTGAAAATGCAAACAGAGACTTAAAACGGAATGTTACACAAACAGTAAGTTGGCTAAAATAGTTGAGATTATTTAAAAGCTTCTGAAAGACTATTTCTTTCATGCTTCAGCTACAGAGATTCTCAAAACAGGAGGAATGTCTACTGCTGGTTGTGGTAGTTTCTTTATCATCATCATCCTCAAATAGATTTTGCTGCCCTGTGGTGGGATTCAGACATTTCCAAAACATGAGCCCTTCTCAAGGAAGTCACTGTGAGAGCAGATGTGTGCAAAAGAACAATACAAGGTAGCAAGGGATGAGATGTCAACAAAGTAACAATTCCAGATAACACTTCCTGTTAAATGCTGGATACACATACCATTGGGTTTCGAAATTCAGGGGAGGTAGTCATTGTGGCTTCGGATACTTTGCCTAGCAATTTGATTTCCTTAGGGTGGGCCATTTCCCCAAAGCAGTTTTCTTTTTCTTTATTAAACTTCCTAAGTTAGTTTTAGGAAGTTTTAGTGATGATGGTGGGGTGATAGAGGGACATAGCCAAGTGGTCATTGCAGTGTACAGTACAACCACTAAAAACTCTTCTGCAGTGACACAGTATCTGAAGCTTCTCTGCAGCATTTCTGATTGGTTGTATGTTCCTGACCTTCCTTCCAAAGCATTTTCTGGGACTTTCAATGAAGTATGATATACATTACTTAAAATAAACAGCAACAAAAAAGATGAGTCATAGATACCGTGCATGCTTTTTCACCTCAGGGCTTTTGTACATGCTTTTACCTGTTCCAGGAAGGTCCTCTCCATGGCGCGCTTATCTTCTCTCTGCCCTCTTTTTCAGGGCTGTATTCAAATGTCACCCCCTGTGACTTTCACTGACCACCCTTTTATGAATTGAGCCTCACCCCACACACTCTTTTTTTCCTGCTTTTTATCTCCATAGCACTAACATACTCTGTCTTACACTTAAGTAATTAAGACAGAGGTTTTCATATGATTTGTACAATTCTGTATCTGCAATGTTGTCTGGGATGTAATGGATGTGCAACCAAAACTTACTGTATTTATGAAAGGTCTGAAATTGCCGCCAGACACCAATGCTAGGAAGTGGTGTTCTGCTTTGGCACTAAATTCTACTTTGAGCGTCTTGATACTTAAGACAAAAGACGAAGGCTTAAAGTGGACAAAAGTAACAGGTTTGCTAAGTTTGTTATTAAACTTAGAATTAAAGAGCTTAGATAAACTTTTAGCTTATACAAAAAATAGCCTTTTTCAGTTGAGTAAAAGATGGTGGTTGTAATATTTTTGATCTATGTTAATTCTGTGGTCCCTTCTACTCAAAGGGTGTGTTTATCTGTCACTTAACCACTCTGCCTAATTTCCTCATTAATGAAATGTAATTGCAGATCATCTGTAATAACTCACCAGTTCCAAAGCAAAGCAAAATCAAACTGTATGATTATTTTGCTGCCCTACTGAACCCCGTGAAAAAGGCATAGTGAGTGCTTTCTCATCTAAAAAGTCTCAGGTTTAACAGAAACAAATGTGGCAAGCCTAAACTTTCAGGGCTCTTAAAACCTTTTGAAACAAAATGATGTATTTGAAATAAAGAGCTATTAGTGACTCTTTTCACCATTTCTTTTGGTGCGTGCCACATAGTGCATTATTTAACATTTTTTAAGCAAATAAAAGAGTCCCTATTAAACATTTTATGCAAACATTAAAATGCAACTTAAATGTGAGTTGGACTATTGCCTGGTTAAATGAATATTTTTCTAAAATGAGATGCAGAGTTCTTTGAAAGAAGATATGAACTTAGAAGATAGAAATGTGGATTTTTAGACAGTAAGTATATTTTCATTAGTGCTATGGACTAATTTGTGACAAATGCCATTTGGTAGGTGTCATCAATATTTCAATACAGACATAGCAGATTAGATGGTGACTTAAGTACCTCTATGCTGTGTAAATTTATGGTTTTATTTTTCAAAACATAGTTCTCCAGTTATTGCCATGACTGTGGCTAGGGAGTCCTTCTTAGTGGACTAACTTTACTGTGCAATAGGTGCCATTCGGTTTCTGACTGCCATGGTGAAGGGGTATGAACTGATACATGATAAACCTTTAGCACCACAGGAGATGTTGACTTAGAGGCTGTAGAGCTCCAGGGCACAGATAGTTATTTTATATTGTATTGCTCATGTACATAAATCTCTGACACATACATTTTAGAAATACATTTCCCAGTGACCTGTGTATGCATGTGTGAATATGGCTAAAGCACGTAGTTCCAGGGATGTCTTCAATATCCTGCATGTCCCTTATCCCTCCTACTATTGGCCTTCTCAGGTGGCTTGGCCTTTACCATATTTCCCCTAGGAAATGTTATCTGTTGCCTTCTTTGTTTCATAGAATGATACTAGGTTCATAGCAGAAATCCTCCACAGATATCTTTCTTTTATGATTTGGTTTAGACAGAATAATCTGTCATAAATATGAAATATTAATATTTAGTATTTTAGTTGAAGAAAGGAAGAGAAATGAGGCTGCCAAAGACTTGCTAAAGGTGACAGCTGTTGTGAATTCCACCACTCTGCCTAAAAGTGCTCCGGATTGGCAGATGCATATAACTTGGAATGTATACACCTGTCCAATGAGTATTAATAGAGACAAGCAACACATCGCTTCTACAGATTGTGAGCAAAACAGCTGCTAGATGATAAAGTCCTAAAATGACTGTCTGCTGTAGTCACCCTAGAATCAGTGACCCAGAGGTGAAAGCTTATATATCCTATTATTAAATTATGAGTCATCCAGATCTTCATGGGTGTAAGTGTAACACAATTTTTTTTTTGAGCAGAGTCTCATGCTTATCGCCCAGGCTGGAGGGCCATGGCACCATCTCAGCTCACTGCAACCTTTGCCTCCCAGGTTCAAGTGATTCTCCTGCCTCAGCCTCCCCAGAAGCTGAGATTGCAGGCACAGGCCACCACACCCAGCTAATTGTTTTTGTTTTTGTTTTCAGTACAGATGGGATTTCACCATGTTGGCCAGGCTGGTCTTGAACTCCTGACTCAGGTGATCCACCCGCCTCAGCCTCCCAAAGTGCTGGGATCACAGGCGTGAGCCACCATGCCGGGCCCCATAAATTCTTTTCCTTTAAAACTTAAAGCACCCTGTGTATTTTTAGAAACTATCATGTTCAATATTGAGTTTGAATGCAATTGTCTTCCCACAGGTGAATTTATAGAACCTGTCATGCCCGGCATGGTCTCTGTAGTCCTGAAAATGTGAAGAATAACATGAGACTGAAATCTGTTTTGAAGTCACTCTACAAATTTGAAAAGAGGGAATCAAGGCATATTTAAACTTGTCCTTTTGCGTGCAAAATGTATGTGTGTGTGTCTGGGGGTGCAGTAACCTTTGCTTTCATGCCTTACTGACTCATTCCATTATTTTACTCCATTTTCTACATCATTTATCCTCAATAATTTGTTTCTTTTTTCTTTCCATTGTTCCTTTACTTTTTGAAATCTGTTTTTGATTGGCATTTGATTTCTCTAGAGGAATCCACTGTCAAGTGCTAAGCCTAGGGTCCAGCAGGACTTTTTCTGGGGCATCCTGCGTGGGTATTTCCTTTCTCTTCCAGCTGTCTGGAGATGAGGCTACATAGAGAAACCCTGCATTGTGTTCCACTGCCTAAAGTATCTTAAATAACATTACAAGTACTACTGACCTAAGGCATCAGCTGATACCTTTAGAGTGTGATTTTCCCTCCTAAAGTAGAGCTCAACTTTTATACCTGACGGCTCTTCCTTACTCCTGATACAAAAGACATAAAAAGAGATT